TAAGTTAGATTTTTAGGGTTTTTGTTTGTTTTTATTTAATGTAAAAAACTTAAATTTTTTTTTTTTAAATTGATTAATATGTTAAGGCTAAAACAGTCATTCTAAGTATTATAAATGTTAATTATCTAATTATAATTTAGGATATGTTATATGTTTAATTTTTGGTATAAAAGGTATTATATATGCTAATTACTCAAAAATTAACGAGGTTAACTTGTATTTTTGATGGTGATGGTGAAGTGCAGTCTGTGCAGAAGCAGATATTTGTTATCAATAATGGTATATATAGGCGTTATCTCAATGAAAATGTTTGGTAGTTATCACTTCTTTAGAAACGTTTCATTTCTATCAACATTTTCTGAAATTCATTTATGTATAGGCAATTTTTTTTAAAAACACAAATATATTGAACATCACGTCATCAACATTTTCTGAAATTCATTTATGTATAGGAAATTTTATGTATAGGCTAAAGATAGATTTGCTTGCGTTAACTAAAAGTCTATTTGAATTTATTAGTAACAACTTTTTTTTCTTAAAAAAATATGTCATTTTCAAAAGCTTCAAAAAAGAGTCAATGTACTAATTCAATAGCCATATTAATGAGGGTTTTTTTGGTGTATAACCAAAAAAATTTAAAAATTTAAAAAATTAGGAAAAATGGGGTTTGTGGCAAAATATACCATTGGATTTGTAGTTTTTGGTTACTTTTTAAATTATAATTTTTTTGTTGTATTTTTAGCAAATTATCCCTATTAATGATAGCATTTTCAATCAATTTTTTTTTTTTAAATTAATTTCGTATCCTTCTTGGCAAAACTTTCTTAACTACAAAGTATTCTAAAACAAAATTTAACATAGCTACCCAACTCACCATATTGCGAGATCGAGAGGTCGAGATCAACCGAGATTGAACGGTCAAGATGAGTGACCGAGATTATGGAAATAAGGAAGAATTCCAGAAGATTGTCAATATCAAATATATTACGAAAGTTAATATTTGTGTACAAGTTAGATTTTTTATTCCGTAAATATAAAGAACTTCCTAGATAAGTTATAATCTTTGTATAAATAAGCCTATTGGCTAGTGAATAAAACTGAGAGAAACTATTCCACTACTAAAATTTCTTCCAAAATCTATCACACCATTTTAAATCAACTTTCATACTATGATTTAGAGTATAAAAGAATAGTTTGCTTCCAATCCAAGCTATCCCATCTTTAAGGTTTTAATAATGGCATTTTCAATAAACAAATAGAAGATATTAACAAGTTGGGAGCTCTTAACCAATCTTTAAAGTTTTGGTTTTCCTGACGATGATAACCTCTTACCTTCTATTCCCCCTTTTTGGTTTGCAAATTGTATAACAGAGTTTACTTCAAGTTATCAACAAAATTAACAACTAAGGCGGACCTATTATTTTATGGTTTCTTTAACTAAAAATATTATTACACGATTTTTTTTTACTTAAAAATAACTTTCGAATAGTGTTAATTTATGTTCAACTTAACGCTGTATAATACTCATTCGTCTGGTACCAAATATCTATAAGATTAGGATATCCATAATATAAGAAAATTTACATACATTATTATTGTCGGAATATTTTTTTTATTAATTTATGAAATGAAATTTATTAAAAGTTCATATTTTATTAGGAGAGTGAAAGTCTAAAAAGAAAGAGTATATTTTATTTTTGTATAAGATATTGAAGAAGAGTAGAAATTAAGGTAAAATTTTGGAATCTATGATTTCAAAATGTTATATTTTATTTTTGGAAATATAAAATAAAATTTTGATTAATAAAGCGGTAAGCGGTTAAACACAAAACTACAAAACTATATATATATACATAGATAACAAAGTTTCAAAGAAACATATTTATTTTCAAATAAGATATTAAAATGATTGAGCATCATTTCATATTTTCATACAACATAAATAAGAGAAACAATTAATTCATTTCGATTCAAAACATATATAATTTTATATCTATAAAAAATAGTTCTTTTGTCAATTATAAATATAAAATTACTAAATTAGTTAAACTTTTTTATCACAATAATTGACAAAATTGTAAAATAAAAACTCGCCTATGGTGCGAACTATAATCTAGTAACATTAATTAATGTCTTTAAAAAAGGAGACTTAAGTCAAGCCCATAACCTGATAAATCCACCTTTCTCAAAAACAAAAAAAGCTGATAAATCCAAATGTGAGGAGGAAGCTTTTGCAACGCTATAATTTTAGAATGTAACATACAAAATGAGCTAACGCATAATTAAGCTAGTGTTTTTAATTAAAATCTAATTGTGTCTTTTAGTTATTCTTTGACGATATTTTCCTTGTTGATTCATTACCATGAATTCTATCAATATGCGAACTCTATCAATATGCGTGGAATTTTTTTGCTCTTTTTATCTGTCTTTATATGTTAATGCCTTTTAGTAAACGGTGGTATGAGTTGACAATTTAGAAAAAAATATTAGTTAAAAAAGTGTGATTAAAATTATATCTTCTATAGATTAAAAGTGAAATATTGGAAGCTATTTTAGATGATGTGTTACTCCCACAATTTTCTTCACCATTTTATATTTTTATTTATTTAATTCATCTACACTCATTACCAAACACATTTAATTCCAAATATTATTTGATTACTTTAATTCTAATTGTCAAACACATTTGAATATTTCTAACCATGTCAAAAACAGTCATTTAAAAAAAATCTATCAAATTTTACCATAAATTTTGAAATATGAATATATATTTCTATGAACATTATATTTTTAAAAGGGAATTTTGCGAAAAATACTACTTATTTGGCAAAATCATCGAAAATCATCGAAAAATACCATTTATGTAAAAACTTTCCGAAATGTACCACAATTCACTATACACGTTTAAGAAAAAGATATTTTTTACGCTAGTTACGACTTATAGTATAGTCCGTGATTATTGTCTACCACCATCGAATGTTTGTCCACAATTATCCACTAGTGTCTTCGTTCCCATTTTCGTCCACAATCACCATCTCTTTTTTGT